TTATCCTGTTTTTGTTTTTTGTTTGATTTGAGGGTGTCTGTTCCTTCCTAGACATTTTGAAGTTGTCTTTCACTGTTAGTTATGTCCTGATTTCTTTCACCCTGATTTTATGTTTAAATACATTTGCAAGTGTGGTGGATGGACCTTTTTTTCTTGTTGTTGTTATTAATTCAGATGTGCTGGGTTGCTCTCCAGTTTTCTTTGTGTTGATGTAATCACTGTTGGGAATGTGGATGCAGGTCTCTGTTTGCCATGAAGGGGATTTGCAGTTGGGACAGGTGTTGTGGTGATGTAATGTGGTTCTTTCAGCTTGGCTCCCAAGGTTACTGTCAGAAGCTCCTGGTGTGGGTATTCTGAGTTCCTGAAACCTCCGTGGGTTCTATGGTGCCCCCCACCTTTTTTTTCTTTTTTTACCCTCTGCAGCTCTCCCCTGTATTTTTAATGATTTTTCCACTTCTTTTCCTCTCCATCTCTCCACTTGATGGGCTCATTTATTTATTTTTTACTTGTTTATTTTTTACTCAACTCATTTATTTTTCCTGGCTGTTTAATCTGCTCTTTTCTCCATCTCCACTAAATTTCACACACTCTTACTACTCAGCTGGTCACAGCTCCAGAATTCCTGCTTCTAACTGCTACACCTAGATTTTGGAAATCAATATGCTAAAGGGAACAAATATGTGGGCTTCAGGTATGACTCCATCTTTCTCACTCCCTATCTTTTTAATGACCTTTTCCTTTCTTCATGGATGATGTTCTTGATGTCATCCCACAACCTGTCTGGTCTTTGGTCATTGGTGTTCAATGTATAGAAACTATTCTTCAGATGGTCTCTAAATTCAGGTGGGATATAACTAAGGTAGCATTTTAGCTCTCCTGGACTTGTTTTAATTTAATTTATTTATTTTTCAGCTTCAGCTGGAACTTGCATATGGGAAATTGAAGATATGTTCCACAGTCACCTCCCGACCTTGTTTTGACTGAATATATTTAGCTTCTCCCTTGCCTCTTTCCACAGATATAGTCAATCTGGATCCTGTGTATTCCATCTGGTGAGGTCCAAATGTTTATGTTGTTGAAAAACAGGTATTTGCAATGAATAAGTTGTTAATATTGAAAAATTATGTCATCTGATGTCCAGTATCATTTCTTCCACCAGGGCCATATTTTCCAAACACCAATGATTCATCTCTGTTTCAAATTTTTTCCTTACAAACTCCAATAATAATCAGTACATCTTGATGGCATGTTTGGTCAATTTCAGACTGTAGAAGTTGGTAAAAATCTTCAATTTCCTAGACTTTGGCTTCAGTGATTGGTGGATATATTTGATATTCCTTGTAGAGGTATGGATATTATCCTATCACTGACAACATTGTACTTCAAGATTGATCTTCAAACATTCTTTGTAATGATGAATGTGATGCCATTCCTCTTCAATTTGTCACTCCCATCATTGTAGATCATTTTATTATCTGTTTAAAAATGGCCAATAGTAGTTCATTTCAGCTCACTAATGCCTAGGATTACTTAGTTCCTCAATCAGCACCAATGGAAGCAGCAGTCAAGAGAACAGATGACATGTTGTACTGGACAAATCTGCTGCAAAAGGCCTCTTTCAAGTGCTGAAGAGCAAAGATGCTTCCTTGAAGACTAACATGTGCCTAACCCAAGTCATGGTATTTTCAGTCACCTCATATGCATGTGAAAGGTAGAAAATGAATAAGGAAGACTGAAGAAGAGTTGATGCTTCTTAGTTGTGGTGTTTGTGAAGAATACTGAAAGTACCATGAACTGCTAAAAGAATAAACAAATCTGTCCTGGAGGAAGTGCAGCCAGAATGCTCCTTGGAAGTGAGAATAGCCAGACTTCATCTCATCTACTTTGATCATGCTGTCATAAGGGACCATTACCTGGAGAAGAATATCATGCTTGGTAAAGTGAAAGTCAATGAAAAAGGAGAAGGCCCTCAAGGAGATGAATTGACACAGTGGCTGGAAAAATAGGCTCAGATATAGCAAGGATTGTGTGGCTGGCACAGGAATGGGCAGTGTTTCATTCTGTTGTACATAGGATTGCTATGAATCAGGGATGACTAGATGGCACCTAAGAACAACAACAGAAATACCTAGGATATTGATCTTTATGTGTTTCTTTCATTTATTTTTTTTACAACTTCCAATTTTCCTACATTCAAACTTTGTACATTCTATGTTTTGATTATTAATGTATATTTACAGCTGTATCTTTCCATTTTGAGTCATGCCCCATCAGCAAATGGAGATTCCAAAAGTTTTACTCCATCCACGTCATCAAGGTCAACTCTACTTTGAGGAGGCAGCCCTTCCTCAGTTGTATTTTGAGTGCTTTCTAACTTGAGGTGCTCATCTTCTGATGGTATATTAGACAATGTTTCAGGGTTATTTAGAAAGTTTTCCAGTGATATATCAGACAGCGTTTCATTGCTATTCATAAGGTTTTAACTGGCCAATTCTTTGAGAAGTGGATAGCTCATTCCTTCTTCACTGTCTGTCTTAGTCTGGAAGCTCTGCTAAAACCTGTCCACCACATGTAACTCTGCTGGCATTTGAAATACTAGTGGCATGGCCTCCAGCATCACAGCAACAGGCAAGCCATCACAGTATGACAAATTAACAGATGAATGATGGAATCTTTTCTTACATCTTCTCAATCTACAGTTAAGTCCTTGCAATGGTATTTTTTATGTTATCTATTGTATCTTTCATTTCCAGCGTTTCTATTTTGTTTCTTTTTATTGTGTCTATCTCTGTAATTAGGGGCTCTGGTGGTGTAGTGCCTAAAGCATTTGACTGCTAACCAGAAGGTTGGTGATTCAAACCCACCAGCCACTCCTCAAAAGGAAGACTGGGCAGTCTACTTCCATAAAGATTTATCACCTCAGAAACCCAAAAGGGGTTGCTCTAAGTTGAAATCGAATTGATGGCAGTGAGTTTCGAGGTTTCTTTATCTCCTTAATTATATTCTTATTTTGTTTATTCAATCTTTTCTTGATTTCTTTTAGTTCTTTGAGCATGATTAATATTTTTGTTGCATTGTTTTCTTCTAATATGCTCATGATCCAGGCTTCTATAGAGGCTTCTTTGTTCTTCTGTAATGGACAAAGATCCAGAGAGCCAGACTTCTTTGTTCTTTTGTAATGGGCCACCATTTCCAGTTCCTTTATGCATTTGTTATTTTTCACTGATGTCAGAACATTTGACACTTACAATGATTTACCTTTTTAAATTATCCTGCATATGTTGTAATTTAACCAATTTCTGCAAGAAAATCTTGTGTGGGCACAGTTTTGCTCATCACTCCCTCCCTCACCCTGTGAGAGCTGTGATTCAGGAAACAGGTTTCAGTCTTTCAGGCATTGCCTAGGCTTGTCACCAATATTGCCTTAGGTGGAAATAGTTCTTTGATTTTTGCTCACCACTCCTTCTCCTACCCTGTGAGAGCTCCACTTTAGACCACACCAAAGTATCAGTGCTTTTGTAAGCTCCCAGACAGCTCAAAAAGGTCACATTTACCAATCTACCCACTGGCTAGCACAGCCTCCCTGTTCATTTATTACTCTCTCTGTGGGAGCCCTTACTTCAGCAGATTGAGGTTTTAGTCCTTCAGACAGGTTAGAATAGACACCTTAAAATTTTTTATTTTTATTTATTTTTTTAGCAATGTATGTCATCTTTACTTTGGAACCAGAAATAATGACCCTTTTTAATGGACAGGAGAGCTGTGGATCCACTGGTGTTGTGGTTGTGTTATGCTAGGACAGAGAGATTTGGGGATACTGGATAAGAGATTTCCCTAACTTTTAAAATGTATTCTTCTCTTGTTTTAGTTTGAAGTTCCATGCTGACATCTTTTGATTATTTTTTCACAGTTCCTATAAGGTTGAATACAAAATTTTAGTTGCTTTTCTTGGTGTTTATGTGGGAAGAGATCTTAGAACAACTCAAACAACCATTTTCCCAGAAGTCTCCATTGAGAATGTTGGAAAATATAAAAGATAGTGATAAAAGAAGAATGGAAATTTTGCCTCATTTGTAGGGTTATGTGTTGTTAGAGTATCTTAGTGCTTTTCTAGGCATTTTAGGCAGGATTTCTTTCACTCTACAGGCCTGTATTAGCATCTCTGTTCATGCTTACTAAATGTCAGTAATACTTACTACTTGTTATGACAACAAACTCCCCAACATTTCCAAAGACACACTTCTAGAATGGACTATCATTAATCAGAACAAGAAGGATTTTCCAAGATAGCCCATAGGATAGGGTTGGGCATGAAGAGAGAACACCTAGTTGAGACAGAAACAGGAAAGAAATGGGCTGGAGCAAAGAAGCATATAATGTCAATGAGAGACTCAAACCTCAGCCATCCTCTCCCTTTCTCTTTTCACAGAAGTGTCAGCCTGTTGAGTTCAAACTCAGTATCAAGTAGGCCACAGAACCCCTAGGCTGTCCACTGGCTGACCTTAATGTCACACAGGCACTCTACACAAGTGCTGACATGTAGGAACATCAGAGTAATCTATGAGCACTATCTTGAAATAGAGTTGGCATGGTAAATGTCCACAGCTGGCTGCCCCATCAGGCAGGGCCATGTTTCACCTGTTATGTGTGCTTCTGCTGCACTCTGGCCAGACCAATAAGGCTTCAGACTTGTATCCTTCTAACTTGATCATCAGCTCCTAACCTCTTCCTGCAGTTCCATCTCCACATAGCAGCCAGAATGAATGTTTTTACAAGGTCAATTAACCCTCCAGTAGTTCCCTACATGTGCTTAGTATGAAATCTAAACTCCACTCTTTGGCTAGGAGGCCCTGCTCGGCCCCCCACACACATGCTATATCACAGCTACACCAATCTTCTTTCCCTAGTCATGTCAGCTGGAATTGGCATCTCCTTATAATCACATCTCTGTGAGCTGGTAAGCTCTATCTCATATCTGATTTCTGCTTTTCCTCCCACAGAGTTCCTGCCATCACCTTTCCATCTTCAGGAGGGTGAGGTTGGCATCTTAGAGAATGAGTTCTGCAGAAACTATTTCCCACCATCAACTCCCAACAGTCGCGTCTACTCTGTACATGAGGACATGCTGTGTGCTGGGGACCTCAACACAGGAAAGGCTGTCTGCCGTGTAAGTGAGACCTTTCCCTGCCTGCTCTGTAAGCTCTTCGTTTCTCTAGTCAGAGCTTGGGCTGTCTCTTTTCTCCCGTGACCCTTGTCTCTTTCTCCCTCTGTTTTTTCTCTGGTCCTTGCTTAACTCCTGATTTTGTCTTCCCAAGGCCACTCCAGCCTGAGGTATTAGAGACAGAAACACCCTCAAGTGCATCTAGTCCATACTATCTATTTTCTTTGTATCTTTTTAAAAACAATGAAGTATAGCTTTCACAGAGAAAGACATAATTTATAAGTGTTCTATTTGATGAATTTTTAGAAATTGATATACCATACAGCTAGCACCAAAAGAAACCCCCTCATGCTCCGCGAGTAAATGACTTCCTGTCATGTATTTCCATATAACACTTTACCCTGATTTCAATCACCATGAATTAGCATCTGGATTAATGGATATACGATCATTCATTGTTCATTTTTTTATCATTGGTATTCCAATGGTATAGTATTTCAATGTGTGAATATACTACAGTTTTGTGTATTATTTCTACTACTGATAGGCAGTTGAGTAGTTTCCATTTGGGGCAATTACAAATAGCACTACTGTGAATATACGTGTGTATCTGTTTTAGTGCCTAATGGTTCACATTTTGCTTGGGTACAAACTGGGAATGGAATTGCTATGTAACATGATATGTGAATGTTCATCTGTCATAGATACTGGCAAGCACTTTTCCAAACGTCTTGTACCGATTCATGCTCTAATCAGCAGTGTATGAGAATTTGCTTGCTCCACATTTCTGCCAGTGCTTCCCATTCATCAACTTTTTTATTTTAACCTTTGCCTGTAATTTTTTATCTCATTTCTCTAGTAACTAATGGAGATAAGCACTCTCTCATATGCTTATTGCCTCTCTTGTAAAGGGTGTATTTAGTCTTTTGCCAATTTTTCTTTGGATTCGTCTCCCTTTATGTTTATTTAGGATCACTTTATATATTTTGGTTATGAGTCCATTATTGAATAGAGATAGAGAAGGACATAGCTATTCAGCTACAAAACGTGTGTGTGTGTGTGTGTGTCTGTACACATGCATGTGTGTAACGCCTTACCTCTCTCCCTCTATATAATGCTTCCATTTCATGATGAAAAAGTGAGACTCAGAGAGGGAAAGTGGATAGTCAAAGGTAAGGTAGCACTGCAGTAGTCAAGATTGGAAAGGGACCAGGTGTTCTAACTCCATTTCCAATTCTGCATCCACAGTTTTTGCAGAGTCCAGTCTTCCCACGTAACACAAGCCGTTTCATGAGGTGGAGAAAGCATTAGGGATTCTGAGTTAAAGAGACCAGGCTCCAGATCTAAGCTCAGCCACGCATCCCATCTGGGTGACCATAAGCAAACCCTTTTCTCTAAGCCAACACTCTGAGTTGTGGTAAGAATCACATGACATTAACCTAGCAGGTGGGAAGCTCTCATCACCATCTTTGTCCTCATTATAGCCAATGAGCCCTTGGAGCAAGAGGAGAAGACTCCTCTTATTGTTACTAGACAAGAATGAGCTGTCTTCTGGCTCCCTATTCACTGGTCAATGCCCACACTCAGACATGCCTCTCAGGGTTAGCTGCAGTTAAAGGTAATGGCAAATTCTCAGACTATCTGGGCTTCAGGCTCCCTTCCAGACTGTTTCCACTGCACCCTCTTGCAAAGGCTATGTCAATGGAGACTCAAGTGACTGTGCTCTCCACTCTGTCCTTTAAGCCAAGGACTCTTATAAACACAGCTTTGAGGGAGATGTGTCACAAATTAAATAAGTGCTATAGCTTTGCAGTCGGGTGGACTAAGCTCAGATTCTAATTTTCCTGCTACTGCTCTGAGCCTCTATAAGCCTCAGTTTCCTAAATGGAAAAATGAGGGTATTAATACTCTGTATGTCACAGAATTCTTGTGGGGGTGGAATGACATAATTCAGAGAACACATAGCACAGTGCCTGACATTTATAAGTGTTCAAGAACTGTTAGCTCCCTTATCCCCTCACACTATCTTCCTCCAACTATTTGAATAGACTTTCTTCTGGGCTTAGCTCCCCTGCCACCTCTCCTACCACACACACACACACACACACACACACACACACACAATGCTATTTCCTTCTGTCTTCTCTGTAGTACAGACTACATCCTGCTCTGCACTAGAAAGGGACATGGATGCCTTTCTTTTGTTTCTTTTTCTTTTTTGCCAGTCTGTGACTTGTCCCAGCTCCCCCAGGCTGGCTTAAAACCCAACATCATGTGTGCAGAATTGTTCCACATGATTTTCAAGGTTTGAGAAGGAGATCACCAGGCTTGACTTCCCAGGTTTCTCTGGCTGGGTTAGATCCACAAATCTTTTGACTAGTAGTGGAGAACTTAATCATTTGCACCACTTAGGGACTCCACTCCTCTAGAATGTGCTGATTCAGCTGTAATGGTTTATTTTAAGTGTCAATTTCACTAGGTCATGATGCCCAATTGTTTGGTCAAATACTAGTACAGATTCTTTGGTGAAGTAGATAAAAAACTCACTGCTGTTGAGTCGATTTTGAGTAATAGCAACCCCTCTTTGGGTTTCTGAGGTGGTATCTTTACAGAAGTAGATTGCCCACATGTGATTAAATCAGCTGACCTTAAGTAAAGTAGGTTTCCCTTCATAATGTGGATGGATATCTTCCAATAAGTTGAAGACCTTAAGAACAAAAAGGAAGTTTTCCCTACAGCATATACTGTCTCTAGATTATAAATAGACATCTTGCCAGGACTTCTCCACTCTTCCTTTCCCCTGACTGATGGATTTTGGGACACACAGGACACAACAGTTTGTTTTGGGACACAACAGGTTTGGTATCTCCAGCCTGTTTTTTTGGTTTTGCACTCATTAGCCCACACAATTGTGTGAGCTTGTTCTTTGAAACTAATCTATCATCTATGTATGAATATATGTATGTATCTATCTATCTATCTATCTATCTAACTATCTATCTATCTATCTATCTATTCATCAATCTATATATCACTGGGTCTGTTTCTCTAGAGAGCCTTGATTAAGACATTTAGACATTTTGATACCAAGCTTGATTCTAGAGGAAACAAATCTTAAAGGTGAGTTTTTAAAAAGCTTGCTTTAGTATTTCTGGAATTGGTTGTCAAATAGGTTAGATTTAAAGACATTAATGAATTAATTTCCAGATAAGAAAACACTGATAGTTCATGTTATGAAGTGGCAATAGAGATATGCAATATAATACTATTTAACATTCCTAATCTAACACTTATGAGAGACAATGTTTTGGGTGATCATGCTGTTTGATACTTTAGAACATTTTTTTCAAAGTGATGAGCATAATGACATTGGCTGGTTGATCCTAATTTCATTGGACAAAGTGGAGAAAGAAAAGAATAAATTCAGTGCTTCAATTCCCAGATAAAGCACTGCATAAAAGTGATGTGAAAGTTGTTATATGTGCCCTCAAAGAAAATTTTACCTCCTGTAATCTTAGGGCTAATATTACTGAAAACAAACTCAGATTCTCATACTATGATTGACTGAATTACTATGCAAATTGAATTCCCAACCTCCCAAGCTGTCTAATGTTAAAGTGAGAGCATTGATTGTGAAGGAATGAGGTCCTGAAAAATGGAATTGGGATGTCTTAGTAGTCACTGATGAAGCTGGAGATACGGAGTCTCTAAATTCTCCTCAGTCTTCTTTTCCAGTAGAAGTGACACTTCTTCACCCAATCTGAGGAGAATGTCCCAGCTTTATCTGAAGAACATGCAAAACCCTGTCTGAAGCAGCTGCCTTGCAAAGCACTGCTAATTCTCCTCAGGACCCATCCCTACTACTCATCTTTACTTCTAGATGCATTACTAGATTCAGTCCTAAAAGACCCCAAAAATTGAGGTACAAAATGTGACCATGAGTAGGTGCACTACATTCCAAAAGAACTCCAACAGATTTTTCTAATTTATACAGACAGAAATCCAAGAAATAGGAGGTGGGAAAAGATGGCAGAGTAAACAGTCTCTCCCACTTATCCCCCTAAACTAACCGACTGAACAATATATATAACAAGTACAGACTGAGGTCTCAGAGATCCACACAGTGACAGCAGCTTAAGGTTTTGAGAGTTGAGGTGAATCCAGAAACAGGGGAGAAGAGAATCACAGAAGCTGGGAGATTCTAGCCACTGGCAACCAGAGGACTCAATATTATGGTCATTTGGGAATGGAGATGAGCAACATCCTGAACAAAGTACATAGAATAGGAGCTAAGCTATTGAATGTATAGTCCAATTAAGATGGTGCAGATTGGCTGTGGGAATTCATGGGCCATGCCTTTGGGAAAGGCACATGGAGGCTGAGGTATAGTGGGTGAGTGAGTGCTGTCAAATCTCACTAATATCTGAGGCCAGTGGTCTCTAAGACCTAGATACACTGAAGAGCTGCAGGCCCTATCCTTCAGCCAGGGTGATAAAAATGCATCAAACCAGCAGCACAATGGAGGAAAAAAAATACTGGCTTACTGCCCACAACTGGACACTATGGAGAAGCCTGCACAGGGTCATCCATGAGTGAAGAACATAAATTGATTCCCACCTTTACCTCAGGAGCTCTGGGACCATAGTGCCTAAGGCATTTCACTGCTAACCAGAAGGCTGGTGGTTCAAACCCACCAACCACTCCTCAGAAAGAAGATGGGGAAATCTACTTCTTTAGTGATACCACCTTGGAAACCCAAGGAGGGGTCTCTATGAGTCGGGTCCAACTAAACAGCACATAACAACAACTTACCTCAGGAGAGCTGATCCTACTACTTACATCTTCAATACGGCCAGTGGAAAATTTCACACGTGTAATTAATCACAAAGTGAAACTTGTGTCCCTATATCCTACAGAGATAAAGGAAGGTATGCAGTCTGGGCTACAGCCAAACAAAGGAAACACAGAGGGACCCTTGCACACCAGAAAAAAAAAATCAATCACCT